AGGCGGGGAACGTTGGAGTCCGCAGTCACTGGAGCAAGCAAGCCTCCCTGTTCGCTTCAGTGCATGGCTGCCGGCCGCCATCTTGGCTGACAGTTAATTTGCATAAGGATATGCTGATTAGCCAATGGGAAGGGTAGCGGTCGTACGCTAATTACCATGTTTCTCTTTTATTAGTGTAGATAAAAGCATGTAAAATGGTGAAATCTGAGTAAGAGCAGTCAATCCCAATGTCAATTTCCCGGTTTTGGTATTGTACCATAATTATGTACAATATTACACTGTGGGAAATTGGATGTAGGGTACCCAGGACTTCTCTGTACTGTTTTTGCCACTTCCTATGAGTCTATAATGACTTCAAAATTGAAAAGTAAAAATAAATTAGAGGTCACCTAAATGCCCCAAACAGAGGGACTGTATTTTTTTAATATAATATAATCATATGATAGGATAGTCAATAGCCTAATAATAATAATAATAATAATAATAATAATAGCTTATTTTTAGCTCAGGGCTGTTTGTCAGGTAGTTGCTAAGCACTTTTCTCGCATTGTATTTCATTTAATTCTAGCAACAACCTAGGGAGTAGGTGTTAGTGTAACCTCCATTACACAGGTAAGAAACTGGAGGCTTGGAGAAGAACTTCCTGTAAGTCACATGGTAGAAAATAGCCAATTTGAGAGTTGAATCCTCACCCGCCTGATCCCAGAGTCTGTACTCCTCACCTGGTGGCTCACTGCCCTTTCATGGGGTAGCCAGGGCTATTTTCATAGAGACAGGAAGGAAGTAGTTCATAGCATATCAGTGAGTAAAAATGCAAGGTCACAAAACAATCTATAGGTATGATCCCATTTTTTCAGAAAAAAATAAACTATATAAACCTGGTGTGTATAGGCATACTCAAAAGTCTGAATGGATATACACCAGCATTTTCATGATGGAGGCTGAGATGTAACACTTATTATCTTCTTTGTGTTTATCTTTTTTAAATTTCATATATTAATCATTTTTAAAGAAGAAAATAGGTTAAATATTTTTAAATCGGAGGGCTGTGCTTGCAGTAGGAAATAAGACATTCCTTCTATGTTTTTTAAAATATTTTAATTGATTTTAGAGAGAGAGGAAGGGAGAGGGAGAGAGAGATAGAAGCATCAATGATGAGAGAGACTCATTGATCAGCTGCCTCCTACATGCCCCCTACTGGGATTGAGCCCACAACTCGGGCATGTGTCCTGACCAGAATTAAACCGTGACCTCTTGGTTCCTGGGTTGATGCTCAACCACTGAGCCACACCAGCCAGGCAGACATTCTCTCTATTGCCTTGCTCTCCTGGACCAGTATTTCTTTTCTTTCCTGTTATTAATTACTTTAGCTCTCTTTTTTTCCTTAGTCTACAAACCTAAAACATGTTGGTTATGGGGAAGCCATGTCATGCTCTTTGCAGATTCCTACCTCAAACTCTTGCCCTCACTCTCGCTGGAACTTTGTCAGCGTCTTGCAGTGCTGCAGTACGGTCCATCTGTGAAATGGGCAGAATTACCTGCCCTGACCCTTTAAAGCTCTTCTCCCCCCTCCCCAATGTGTCCTCTACTATTAAAGCATCAGTTATAATTAGGCATTGCATGTTAGGTTTTGTGGGAGGAATGCCTATAAAACACCTTTACTTTTTAATAATATGAACTGTCTTTTTAAAAATGGGAAAACGCTGCCTCTGAGCAGAGGGAAATGCCTGCATTTTACCTACACGAGGAGGCTGCTCCTCAGCAGGAACAGGGTCCATTGATCCTGTCCTCCCGCAGAGGACTCGGCCCCGGGGCCGTCTCTAATGGCCTTGGCCAGCTGCTCCTCTTTGGGGCTTTGTGAAAGCCAGCTGGCTGCGGGGCTGCCACATACCTAGGCGAGGTCAAGGTCCGTGCTCAGGAAAGGTGCAGGCGCACTTACTCCACAACAGCTGGGCCCCGCGGGGTTAGTGACAGTAAATTCCACAGGGAGCCTCATGAGCTGTGTTCCCTCCCATGACCACTCAATTAAAACTCAACACAGGGTCCCAGCCAGGGTTGCCCAGTGGTTGAGTGGTCATTTTCTAATGGTTTTGAGCTTATGGAAGCTTTGCATAAAAAGCCAAGTATGTCACAATGATGTCATTTTCATCAATTAACAGTTAAAAGATATATATGGCTTAAAGCAAAACCAGACTATTTATCAAACATAATAAGAATTTGGCATAAAAATCTGCTGGGCAATTGTATTTATGTAAATAATGGGTAAATAAGTAGAACCATTTAATGAAATTACTCAGTGTGTTTACACTTAAAGAATCTTTTAGATAAAATATGGGTTAGAAAGTATTTTAAAACCATGGACATTCTGTGAGGTTTGGAAATTAGGGGATGCAGATTACAAAAGATGAAACCACCCCAGAAGAGTGGACTGCTTTAGGAGATATTTTAGGTATATTAACATTTTAAAGAAAATTCACCAAAATGTGGTTTTCATTAAACAGGGAAAGATAAACAATGTGTCCTACTGTGGGTTGGATGCTATACAGTGGCACGCTTTCTCACTGTTTCCTTAGAGCATTCTTGAGATATGGGCACTCTCCACACATGCAGATGTGGAAACGGAGGATTTGTCCAACATCTAAACAGTAACTAAGTGGTAGAGTAGGATGTTGGCTCCTGTTTGCCTTGTTACAAACTTTCTTAACCTCGTACCAGACTGCTACCAGGGAGGTGATGTCTGTGATTTGCGTGTCTTCCTCAAGATCTTATTCTTTTCTGAGAAACTTCTAGAGAAGGGGCATATTAAGAAATAGAGCTCAGGTAAGTTAAGAGTATGGGTGTCCTTCAGTACCAGCCTTGGCTATCCAAACATGCTGTCTATACTCTCACCACTTAACTCAATAAAAGATAGCATGGACCTAGCTGGCGTGGCTCAGTGTTTGAGTGTTGACCTATAAACCAGGAGGTCATGGTTCAATTCCTGGTCAAGGCACATGCCCGGGTTGTGGGCTCAATCCCCAGTGTGGGGTGTGCAGGAGGCAGCTAATCAGTGGTTCTCTCTCATCATGGATGTTTCTGTCTATCTATCCCACTCCCTTCCTCTCTGAAATCAATAAAAAATATATTGGGGGCGGGAAGACAGTATGGAAGCCGGCAGAAACGGGAAAGGTAGAGATCACTAAGTCAACTGTATGATGCTTATGGCATTCCATTTTGTCAGAAGGTCAACTTGTATCCACTCTCTCAGTACAGTGAGGAGGTGTGAGAAATGGCTAAAGACAGCCTGGGAATAAGATGAGTGAACAGAGATGCTGTAATTGCCTTCCAATATTTGAAAGCCCCAGGAAAGAGGCCAATGAGGAGACACCGGGGTAAATGTCAACATAGGAGCACAAAGGACTTTCTTACCCCAGAAGAGTGGACTGCTTTATGAGACAGCCAATGCTCTGAGAAGCATGGGCCAAAGGCCTTGTGACCAGGAGATGCTGGTACTTCTATGTGGCAGTGACCTTCCTGGTCTGTGAGGTTCTTTGTAGTTGAGCATCTAAGACTTTCCATGTGGTCTTGTTCATTATCAGATATCCATAGGTGTGCTACACCAGTCTCTTTCTTTTTCTTTTTCTCTAGCATCATGTTAGAAATTAGTAAGAGAACACTCCTGTCACAGGGAATATTCCTGACCTCTGAGATTCTTAACGATTAATATAAATATGGTCTCCTGTGAGCAGCCTTTAGCCACTGCTCTCTGTGCTGGGTCAGGAGACTGCTGTGAAGCACTGTATTATTGTCCTCTGAGTGGGCCTCAGCAGTCATTTAAGAAATTTAGTGCATGGGGATCTGGTCTTCTGAGTCACTTTGTCAGGTGGCTTTGACCTTAAAATTAAATATGGTGACTATATGAGTTTCTTCCGGCTTACTTAGTGTCCACCACAGTCTTGTCCCCTATACATTTTGAACCAAAAGGTGTGTGTTCTGCCAAGTTAAAAATTATAATAGGAATCTTTTAGCTTGGTTGACTGCCTAGCTTTAGTGCAGGCCTCTGAAAGCCAGAGGAACTGATTATGATTAGCAAAGTGGCAGCCAGCCGAGTGCCACATTTATTTAATTTAGAGCAATAAATAGGACAGTGAAAAAAATTGTAACGAATGCTAACTAGATTTATTGTGGTGATCATTTTGCAATGTGTACAAATATCGAACCATTTTGTTGTACACCTGAAACTAATGCTATATTACCAATTATACCTCAATTTAAGAAATGACAGTGAAGCGGTACCCCCCAGGGACCCGCTCAGCTGGGCGCCGGGTCCTGAGGAGTTGCAAAGGCGGGCAGTGCCTGTCTAATAGACATGAGATGCCGTTCTTAACTGTGGGGCTGTTGCTTTCCTGCTGAGGCTGCTCTTTTGCTGCTCAGTAGATTCTGGTCGATGCCACATTCGTAGAACCTGTACCTGAATGCGGTTATTTATCGGTATTGTCCTGGCAAAAGACCGAAGAATCCTCCTGAAACTGCTGCTGCGTTTCAGGAGACTATTCACCACTTTCATTGTCCTGTTTTCTTTCCTCTCCATCGCCATTACTATTGCAGTAACATTTATGGTTTATTGTATGCTCTGCATTGGGTTAAGTGCATTATCTCAGTCAACCCCCTAACGATCTTACAAAGTAAATGCTATCATCGTCCCCATCCACACATGAGGTAACTGGAGTTCAGGTCCACCATGCACTTGTCCAGAGTCATTCAGGGAGTAAGGGATGGAGCTGGGAGGAACCCAGGGCTGGTGTGGGAGCCCACTGTTGGTCACTCTGGTGTGCTGCCCATTATTTTGCTTTAATAGAATTTTTTAAATCAAAGAGCTGACGTTATTAGAAATTGTAGTACCTGTTGACGCTTGACCTCTGTCATATGTAGAGAGAAGCACCATAGTGTGTGTGTGTGTGTGTGTGTGTGTGTGTGTGTGTGTGTGTGTTTAGACAGATTGCTTATTTGTACTATGACTTCGTGAAGATGCTCTAAGTCTATCATTAAACACCGCAACTGCAGACAAGCTCAGTGACAATCTAGAGAAAGGGTCCGTGGTCCTTGTGGCTTTGAAATGAAGGAAGTCATTCTGTGATATTAAATAGGCCACTCTTGAACAGCAATACCTCTAAAAATGCAACCCGTGGAATTCAATGATATGCCAGGACACTTGAGCAGAAATATATCTCTTTCTTCTTCCTGCCCTTCTAAGGCAAAGTATAATCAAAGAGCTTGGAAAGATATATCCATTATCAATAATTTAGATGACAGTTTTCTCATTCGTAGGAGGTAATTTGTACATTCTGTGATCAACACCTGCTGAATTTTTTTGTCGTGTGTGTTAATGGTTTTTAAAACATCAGCTCAGGCATCTGCTAAGCTCTCTTTATACCTGAATGCTCACTGAAGTGAGCAGAGTAGCCAACTGCCAAGTTAAGGGTGGGAGTTCTGGGTAAAGCAGCTGGAAAGACTAACAAGGAAGAAGGTAGGTAACACCTTATGCATTTTGAAATAATTTCAAACTCACAGACAAGTTCCAAGAACAATACAAATAACTCCCATATATACTTTACCCAAACTCACCATTTTTAATATTTTGCCGCGTTTATTTTATCTCTTTCTACACACATCCAGTTACACATGTGCTTATTTTTCTGAACTGTGTGAGTCGGAATCATGTCATGTCTTTCTTAGGCCTTCATACCGCAGTGTGGATTCCCTGAGGATAGGGATATCCTTAACCACAGTTCAGGCATGAAATCCAGGAAATTTAGCATTGAAACAGTACTGTTACCTACACCGTCCATACTCAAATGTTGTCAGTCATCCTGGTGCTACCCTTTAATAGCACTTTTCCCCTTTAATATAGGATCTAGGCCAGTGATGGCGAACCTTTTGAGCTCGGCGTGTCAGCATTTTGAAAAACCCTAACTTAACTCTGGTGCCGTGTCACATATAGAAATTTTTTGATCTTTGCAACCGTAGTAAAACAAAGACTTATATTTTTGATATTTATTTTATATATTTAAATGCCATTTAACAAAGAAAAATCAACCAAAAAAATGAGTTCGCGTGTCACCTCTGACATGCTTGTCATAGGTTCGCCATCACTGCTCTAGGCCGTGATCATATATTGGGTGTAATTGTTGTGCCTGTTTAGTCTCCTTTAACCAGGGTCAGTTCCTCACCCCCTCTCTTTAATGAAATTGACATATAGGCCAAATTTTAAAAATAGGATGTTCCTTATTTGGGGTTGTCTGTTGTTTCCTCATGATCAGATTCAGATTGTCTGTCCCCGGTTGGCATATAACAAAAACGACATTGTGTCTTTTCAGGGTATTTCACCCCAAATCACACCAAGCCCATCTGACTCTCACCAGTGATTAATTTTGGTCACCAATTAAGGTGCTATCGGCTTTCCCTACTGCATTGTTACTGTTGTTATCCTGAAAACCAATAAGCTTTGTTTTCAAACATTTCCAGTCTTTGGAGATACAAACAAAACTAAATATTAATAAGAATCCAGAAGTATAGTTCTTTCAAGTGTCAAAACTTCTTGATGATAAGTCATAAAATTATGGAATTTTATAGTGGGTAGGGGCTTTGGAATTGCAAATATGATTTTAAAAATTTAAGGCTTTATTTTTCAGAGCAATTTTAGGTTTACAGCAAAATTGTGCTTATAAACTACAGGTTTTTCATATAACCCCCCCCCCCCCCCCCCACACACACACACACACAGCCTCCCCCACTATCAGCATCCCTCCAGAGTGGTCCCTTTGTTACAGTCATTAAACCTATATTAAAACATCATTATCACCCAGAGTCCGTAGCTTAGGTTCGGGTTCACTCTGAGTGTTGTACATTCCAGATGTGTTTTCAAAAACTCAATTTAGAGTTGACTTTCCTGCACTTTATATTTTCAGGGCTATTACTTTTCTAAGTTCTCTTATAAGAAATACATCTCTCTGTATCTCATTTTTAATGATGCCTCTTCCTTCATTCCTTTTTATAATAATTATATCTTTATAGTTTACTTCACTTTAAGGTCGGCTTTTAATACCATCTCAACGGAGAGAGAGAAGCTGAAGCAGCTGCTGGAGCAGGACGTCGCGTCCCCCTCCGCGCAGGTCATTGGTCTGAAGCGTGCCCTGTCATCCGTAAGTGCCATGTCTGTGTCCACAAATGCCTGACAGTGTGGCCAGGCTCCTGAATTTTCTAGTTTCCATCTCCGTGGTTGTGTAGAAAATTCATGAGAAAACCAAACAAATTATCCAAATTATATTCTAGTCTTTCATCAGATCTGCTTATTCTAAAGACCCAAACTAAGCCTACCCCAAATCTTAGTAGCCAGTATTTCACTGAGCATAAGATATACTTCATGTTTGGTTTCCTCCTCTTTATCTTGACTCTTCTGATCCTGTAAAGCTTTGGTTGTGTGTGTGTGTGTGTGTGTGTGTGTGTGTGTGTGACAGACATTGGTTTGTTCGTGCTTACAGCATCTGACAGTTGGACATTTCTGTACCTAAGACTTCACACACTTAGACCGACTTCCCAAATCACAGGCAGCAGAACTACATTCTAAGTTCACCCTTGTCCTCTCTGCTGCACAGCACAGATTCTACTGACCACTCTCCCAGAGATGTGAAAATGACTTGACTGTATGTGATTTGATTTGATAGTAGAAAACATTCATATGCGTCACATGCAGCGTAGGGAACAGTCTGCCTTTGCACCCCAGAAGTCAGGCCTCGGCTGTCCGTCAGAAAGCCTCTCTGATATTTGCTCTCTCTCCCTTTCTTCATCGACTCCAGTTCATTCCTCGCAGGAGCGAGGCTCCATTGAAGGGCTGTGTCCTAGAACACTCTGCCTTGAGCGGCTGATGTTGTCTGGAAGCTCACTTTGTATCTATCAAAAAGCTAGAGAAGTTTTAAAACAACACACATTTGCTTCTCCTTTTGCCCATCCTTTGGAATTCCCATGGTAACAAGGGAGTGTGCGCACCGTGAAATTACCATCAGAAGAAATACTGAACTTCCTATTTAGGGTCAGGTAGGGGAGATGAATTTTAGGATCTTGTTTTCAGAAGCCAACTGAGAGAACTAGAAAGTAGCCATTCATGTTTCCTATCATCATGTTACTGAGAAGAGTAATGTTCTCGGTGTAATGTTAAAGGTAAATGCATTACCAGGAGTACATACTGTTATTGTAAAATACCCAAGGAATATTCACAGGTTGAACATTTCAGGTATGTTGCCTTTGAAAGAAATAAGAAGTAATGTGGACTGACTGCATGTCCAGAGCCTTGAGGAGCTGGGATCTTCAAGGTCGTAGAGAGAAACACCCCTTGGGACTGTAGTGGCCAGCCTCACACTGGGTGCTGCTTTGGTTCCAGAGAAGCGAGGTGGTTCTCTCTCTCTCTCTCTCTCTCTCTCTCTCTCTCTCTCTCTTGTTTTTTAGTTTATTTAGTGGCAAAGGCATTTCTCATTGTTCCCAGTAGGCTGGCTTTCAGTGCTTTCAGAGGCCCCTCTCCCCACCCTCATCATCCTCTGGAGGGCAGGCCTCCTCGGGTAGAGCCTATTGAGATGCATTTGGCCCTGGCGTCCCAGGCCACAGTTGTCCTTACCTTCGCTAAGAAAGTCCCTCTCAACCCCATTCAGGATTTTGCAAACTTAAGATAAAACAGAATGATACTTTCCTTTCTGCCTTAGATTCCCGGTTAAATTGGTTTTTCAAAGGCCATCTCGCGGCTATCAGAATGTATATGCCGTGTTGTGTGTGCAATCTTGATATTTTTCTTTCTTCTGCCTGTGGCTTGCAAAGGAAAAAGAAGCTAGCAAAATAGCACCTTTTCCAGGCCACAGTCAGAGTCCAGCCACTGGTATAGATTCTAGCCACTTATATTAAGAAACCAGCGACTCACTGGCCAGAATAAAGCAAGTGAAGAGATTGTTGCTGCATGTTTTGTGCATTTAAGAAACGTTTACTCAGTGTTTCCTAAACGATTTTCAGGAATTTCCAAGGAACCCATTCCATTCATGGGTCCTAACAATAAAGCCAAAATCTTTGCTAGAGATCCAGGCCAAGCCACATCCTCTGCGTTCTCAGCAGGTCGGCCCTGGGGGAAGGGCTGTGAGATTCTTGGAAGAGATCAGGAAGACAGACAGACAGGCAGGATGACCTGGGGGCAGTCTGGGGGGACAGAACTTGGAGAGCAGTTAGTCACGACCGGACAGAGGCGTGAAGAACACGCCGCCTTTTACTGTCAAGCCAGTTCCTTCCCAGTTGGGAGGTTGAGAGAGGGAATCAGAGCTGCCCTGGGGAGGGATCAGAGAGGTGTGGTAGATGCCAGGTGCTCCTATCTTACACCTTCATTCCAGGGCCCTGGCTCTGAGCCCTCATCCAGGTAAGTGAGTTTTGTTTTTCTTTTCTTTAAAAATCAAATATCTTAATCACGAAGAATAACTAAAACAATCAAACAGCTAGCTATATTGGGAAACAATAAAATTAATCCTCCGAAAATCCTACTTTCCAAGATTCAATTCAACTGGGGTGATCATTAGATAACATTAAAATATGGCCAATCATAAGGGGTGAGAGCAGCATCTTTTTAAAGATGAGAGAAGCGTGGAATCATTAGGGAGGGCGTGGCCAGAGGCTGCAGTAGCCCTCTGTATCCGCAGGCTCCACATCCACGGGTTTAGCCCAAGGCCCTTTTTTCTTTTTTTAATATATTTTTATTGATTTCAGAGGGGAAGGGGCAGGGAGAGATCGAAACATCAGTTATGAGAATCACCAACTGGCTGCTTCCTGCACGCCCCCTACTGGGGCACGTGCCCTTGACAAAAATCGAACCCGGGACTTTAGTCCGCAGGCCAATGCTCTATCCACTGAGCCAAACTGGCTAGGGCAGAAAATATTCTTTAAAAAAATGTTACGTTGTTGCTGCCATGAACCATGTAGTTAGGCCTACCATGGTTATGATGGCTGCGATGGTGGGGTCTGCACTGAACATGTACAGACTTTCTTCTTGTCATTATTCCCTAAACAATACAGTATAATAGCTATTTACCTAGTATTTACATTGTATGTGGTACCATATGTAATCTAGAGATTTTAAAGTGTATGAGAGGGTGTGCGCAGGTTCTACCCGAATACTACGCCACTTATGTAAGGGACCTGAGCATCCGTGGGTTTGGGTATCTGCCTGGGGTGCTGGAGCTCATCCTGGGGACCCCGAGGGACACTGTAGACACAGCTGGGGAGAGGGAGGGGCCGTGAAACCGCTGGTCAGAACAGCAGCTGGGTGTTTGTGATTTCCTTTTCCACACACAAAAAAAAAATCTTACTAACCTCTCCTTCCATCTTTGGAAATGAGATTAGAGAAGGGCTGTGGGGTCCAGAGTTTAATATCTTTTATTCCCCAGGCATCTCAGAGCCCGTATCCTGTTGGATAGCATTCAAGGAAAAAGTCCAGGAAGTGCCCTGGGGCCCTGCCACACGGGCCCACTCTGTGCTTTTCTGAAACACTATTTTTAACGTGTTCCAGGCCCTAGCACAAAACACAGACCTTAAAGGACGCTTGCGCAGAATCCATGCCGAGTCCCTGCTCCTCGAGCCCCCCGCTGCTGACAGCCTGGCAGAGGTGGGTAAGGCTCCGGGTCTGGTAAGGTCTGGTGACGTCGCTGTGACCTCACAGGGCGCCCTGGCTCCCTCCTCCCCTCCAGAGGGCTGCTCACATCCGCGCCTCCCCGCGGCGGGGTCCCGGATCCCAAGGCTTTCTCCAGTCTGCTGCTAACTGCTTCCCCTGGCCCCCAGCACTCTTCTTCCCTTTGCGCCTCTCTCCCCCATTCTTCTCCTAAGCACCCCCAGTTCACTAGGCAGTACTGCCGCGGGAACTGTAGAGACAAGTGCTCTCCCGTTACCCCTGAAGAAACCTCAACTTCCCGGTTCCCTGGGCTTCCTCTGTGAGACCCACTCCTCCTCGGCTGTTCCCTTCTCCTTGTCCTGCAATACTTGCTTTTTTTCCTTTTAGAAGCACAACCTTACCTTCTGAGGGAAAAAATACTCTTACAGTGAAGGGTCTTGGCCAGGTGATACTACATAAAAAATGTCTTTGCTCAAGACTTGGGATGTTCATCTAAAACACTCTCTGAAGGTGTTTACAGTGAGAAATTTCAGAAAAATACAAGTGAACTGCTTGAGAAGTAGAAAAGGGTAATTAGGGCTACAACTCTTTGTAGTTGTCTCTTGTATTGATATGCCTTCCTCAGATGTGCTGAGTTTTTTATTAACAAATTTATTAGACTGAGGGCATTTAAAATAAAAAATAAGAAGGTAATATACAAGGGGTGTGTGTGTGTGTGTGTGTGTGTGTGTGTGTGTGTGTGTAAATTTGAAAGGAGTTTCTAATGTTTGATCTTAATCCATCTTTCTCCTTTTCCTGTCCTCAAACCCTCACACAAGCCTTCTCTCCTTGGGAAGCTGTGGTGCCGTGATGAGGGGACTAGAGGCTGAAATGAGTCAGCGCACAGGCTGCCAGCCCCAGAGGCACTGGCGGTGACGGTTTAAGGCAGGCAGAATAACTACCTCAGGCATAAACATGATTTTATATGTAAAATAAATAAACATGATAGCAGAGGCTCAAAACCAATGGGAAAGAGATGGATTATTCAATCAGTTAGGTTGGCACAGCTCAAAAGCAATTTGGAAAGCAGTTTAAATCTCCCATTGCACACTTAAAATGAATCACTGGAGAATTTATCAAGCCCTGGCTGGTGTGGCCCAGTTGGTTGGGCATTGTCTCGGGCACAAGGGTTGCTGGTTCGATTCCTGTTCAGGGCACATGCCAGGATTGTAGGCTTGATCTCTCATGGGGAGGGCGGGGTGTGCAAGAAGCAGCCAATCGATGTGTTGCTCTCACATCAGTGTTTCTCTCTCTCCCTCTCCATTGCTCTCTCTCTAAAAATCAATTTTAAAAATCTTTTAAAATATATTTAGTAAGTACCTAGAGTAAGAAGGACTTCCTAAATGTGGAAGTAATAGGAAAAGTTACAAAAGAAATGTTGACTGGATTTGGCTTTTTTCTTAGGAGGAAAATGGTGTGTGTGAAAAAAGAATGCATATAATAGACTAGGAAAAAACATTTTCAGAGAAAATGCTAGACTTGAATAATGCTAAATAGATGATAATGTATTTAATACTTAAATAATTAATAAATAATAGCAAGCAACTTAAGACCTCAACAAACAAATGGGGTGGGAGGAAACGACACAGTTTACCCCAAGTACAGATGATTTTTTTAAAAACCTTCCATTTGGTAATACTTATAAATTCATAGGAGAGTATAAAGAAATGCAGAGGGTGGGCCTCCTCCAGTGTTAGCATCTCTATATCCAGTTTCTTTTAAAAAAGGACAAAATGTTCAACCTAATTCTTAGCAAAGAAATGCTAATTAAAACAAGTACATTAGCACAAAATATTTCCAAATTAAAGTGTTTGGTGCCCTTACACATGTAGAGAAAGCAGAGGTTCTCTTGCTTGTTGATGCAATTAGGTAACATATATTTTACCTTTAACATTTTTAATAATTCTAGTTCTGAGAACTGATTCTAAGGAATAATGAGATATAATCAGAGACACATTTGCAAGCATGTTCACCACCTTTACAAATTTGGAAACACTTTATTGGGTAATAGTTCCCTATGACACACAATTAAAATAAAATATCTTTCAACTAAAGTTCATTGTGTCAAAGAACTTGTAACAGCCTGGGGAAAAGTTCACAATGTAATGTTACGTGACTTTAGCAGACTAGATAAAGACAATGGACAGTGGGGTCCCAATTTTTCACGCGCACAAAAATTATACCCAAATATTTTAATACAAAAAGTACATCACCAGGTTAATAGGAGCCACATCTGGGGAATGAGACTTTAAGTGATGTTTATTTACTTTTTGTATTTTCTGTTTTGAACACATTACTTTTATCTTCAGAACAAATGTTAATTTTGAAATTATTTATAGTGCAATGTTGTTTGGGGGAAGTTTATAAAATCAGATGCATAGATAGAGATTACAGTTATTTCAAAGCAAAGCTATATGTATAGAGAGGGTTGTAGAGAAATGTATCAAAATAGTTGCAGTGGTTGCTTCACTGTGATGGGATTATGGGCCCCCTCCCTTTTCTCTGTTTATCTTTTGTAACTTAAAAAATAGACAAACTGAGGGGACATCATTTCATTGAACTGACCAGATTAATATGCTAATAAATGAAGCCCCGTGTGGTGCAGACCCTGTGCTGGGTGCAGTCCCATGAGCTTCCGTAGGTGTTAATAGGAAGTAGCTGGGGTGGGACAGCAGAAGGGGCTAGGGCTGGGGTGTTCCTTTCAGTCTTAATCAGCCCGGACATCCTCTGACACCTCAGTCTAGGAGGAGGGTAGAGAGCACAAGTGACTGGTAATAATTAATGAGTAGAGCAGCTAAATAAATCATTAGAGTCTTATGTGGCAGCAGCACACCAAAGACAGGGCAGTTCAGTGAGCATTACAGGAGCTCCCTTGCTCACCGCGCTGTCTCCCTGTTCCTTGAGGCGGGGGCTAGATGGGGGGACAGCTGTGGTATTTATTTGTAGATCCCACCGTGGTCTCTTTGTTAGGGTAGAGAGAAGCCTGCTTTCCAGAAAGCTGTGCAGATATTAAAATGGGGAGGGTCTTGGAGCGAATGCCTCGGGCCAGCTATCTTAATTAGGAAGAATCCAAGACAAAGGGGTCCGCATTTCAATGTGCCCCAGAAGTAGGCATTTCATACAGAGGCCTTGCCCTGTATGAATGAGGGAAGTCTGCCGTGGTCCTCCTGTTTAGCACCCCGGCCTGGGCATCATTTGTGTATGAGACAGAGGAGTGTGTCCTGAACTCGAAAAACTTCTGGGGAAGACATCATCTGCGCTAACCTTTGTTCCCCGTTATTCTGGGATGCTCTTAGCAGATACATAACGACACAGAAGCGGCTCCTGTGTCAGCCCAGTGAGAGATGGGAGGTCCGGGGAGTTCAGGGCATCCGTCTCCTCTGGGTGGGAGGCATCGAAGCCTCTTGTGCTGAATCCGTTCTCATTCCTCAAGGCCTGTCACTGTCACCTCTTCTGTGCAGCCCTCCCCAGACCAGAGCCGCTTCGGAGCCACCTCACCTTCCTCTCCGCTTCTGGCGCTCTCCATGGCCCACAGCCTTGGGCTCAGAGTGTTGGTGTGTTCTCTGCACCCCTCATTCAGGCCAGACACCGGGTCTTATCCATCAGTGTGTCCCTCCAGGGCCAGCACAAAGCAGTGGCTCAGTTTGTTGAAATACATTGATTTTTTCACTTACAACTCGATAGAAGTTGCACCCCCAGTATTCAGGTCCTTCCCGGTGGGAAAGTATAGACCAGTGGTTCCCAACCTGTTTTGGCCGGGCCCCACCTAGGCATCTGTAAAATCCTGATGCCCGCCCCCCGCCCCCGGGACATATAATTCTTATTATTCAAAAAGTAAACTCCTGTTCACGTGCAGGAAGCCTAAAAGGCCATTAACTTGGTCTAAACAAGCTTCCAAAGTACATGGTCTCCATGAAAGAGAAAAATAAAAGAACAAAAGGACAATTGAAGTATTGAGGAGGAAATCACTAAGAAATTATTAAATAATAATATGAAATTATATGAAAAATAGCAAATAAAGTTTTAAGACATAATAGAGAACTGAAATGTGTAAATATGTCACAATATATATCTATATACTGTATATGAGGCCCCTAGAACCATAAGAAATGCAAAAAATTCACTATTATTAACTCATTCTCTAATTGCCCTCCTTAAAAGTCATATTGCCCCCCTGTGGGGCGTGTGCCCCAGTGATGGATAAAACCAGGATTCTGGCCTCAATGAGTGGGAGCCACTGATCTAGACCCAGGGAAGAAGGGATGGAGAGCCAGGCAAGATGAGAATAGAACATCACAGTGTGCTGTTGTGTTATTTGTGTAGCAGCCTCTAAAGGGGGTTGGGGACTTCCTTCCCTCGCAGAGTCATTGTGGTTGGAGAGAGACAAAGAATTTATTTCATTCATCCATCCATGAATAATGAAAGATCTGCCACCAGGGGCACTTCTGGACCAAAGCACACTGTTTATTTGTCAAGGGACGGCTCGCAAGCAGCATGCTGGCCTCCGTGAGCACGTGGGGCAGAAGAAAGCGAGGCTGCTCAACCCAGCCATGCAAGGACACGCATGCAGTACAACTCAGAGGAACGTTAGGATGAAAAGCAACATCCTGCAGCGGTAGAAAATAAGGGGATATGATTCAGAGAGCGTTGGAATGTTTCCCTCTTAAATGCGACAGAGACTGGCCTGGACAGTCTTTCTCTGGCTTTGAGATTTGCTCGTGTGCCTGAGCAGTGAAGTGCCTGGAAGTGAGGCGCCCATTCGGAGGAGGCCTTCGTTTTTCATTTTATTTCGTATGAGGCTGGTTTCTCCTCAACTCCAGAGCTGACCTCTGCTTTGAGCTGCTTGTTTGCATGGGCCTGCGACCTTGCGTATCATGCAACCAAATCAGTTGTGTGTTTTACTTCTCTTGAGACTGTTTCTAAATATATATGTATTCTTGTTTTTATGTTTTAAATAGGAAAACTCCACCGATGACAACCGGCCCCTGGTCCATCAGCTTTCTAATGAGAGCCGGCTCTCCATCACTGACTCCCTGTCAGAGTTCTTCGATGCCCAGGAAGTCCTGTTATCGCCTAGCTCTTCAGAAAATGAGGTTTGACCATTGTGTTCAGTCATGTGCCTCCGAGTCTCTTCTCTTGCTGTACCCATCCCGTAAATACTCATATCTAGAAACACTAAACTCAGTTGCTCCTTTCTACCATTATATTCTGGGATCTTGTTATAACTCCTACCCCAAATTGCACAAAAGGCTACAAGACCTTAGAGTAAAAAGTTGTGAAAGTAGGTGTTGGGCATCCTTATTTCTGATACTTGATTTGCTATCCCTCTTTTCAATGACAGGCTAACAATTTTGACTATTAGCGGTTTGATATGTGTAATATTTCTACCTACAGTGCCAGAAATTAGCATCATGGATATTTTTTAATCATCGAATTCAGCCTGTATTAATTTACAACATGCTATTATTACATTATCATAATGTTGTAATATGGTCATTATAATACTTTATAATATATAACAATATTTTTTATTTTTTTATTTTTAACAATATTATTTTAAATTGATGCATAAAATTCATACTTTCCTGAGGAGGCAAGTGTCATAGTTGGCCTTGCTGTGTATAATGTGTATTGGTAATTTTTTCCCTTTAGAAGTACTCATCTTGCTTATTAATTTCTATAGAAGATTATTTTTTTCACAAATAGTTCAAAGACAAATTATAACTCATTCTACCCAAACACTAACACATTCTGAAAATGCAGCCTGCGTTAATAAGAATTTTAATAACAACTAAAACCTTGATTTACTTGTGTTTTCCTTGTGAGAAGGAAAGTGCGAGGATTTTAATAACAGCTGTTTGCTGTGAATGCCCCTAGGCAGGCAGGCGAGTGGCCCCAGTAAAAACAGCGTCCAGAACTATTTCTCTAGGTTCGCAGAGCGGGATTGAAAATGTTTGCTGATCTTGAGTCCAGGTTCTATGAAAACCTGGCTTGTTTACTCTCACTCTAAGGTATATTATGTCTTCTTTCCCGTAGGGTTCTGAGGACGATTCATATGTCAGTGACATAAGTGATAACCTTTCCTTGGACAATCTCAGTAATGACTTAGACAATGAGAGACAAACCTTGGGTAAGACTTAAATTATTTGATCTCTGAAAGTCTGGGTCTTCATGGAATACTAATAAACATATAAAGAGAACCTGTTGCAGGCCAAGAACTGTAACAAGAACTATATAAGAAAATTCAGATATGGTCCCTCTCAAGGTTTTATAACCCAGGTGGGAAGACAGTACTCACTCACATGAGAAAAATGTTTTCATTCAAATAAATCTGCCTACTTGTGTAAATTTCTATTTTCTAAAGTGAGGGTATACCAGTTATATAAATATCAAAGATTAGTGCAACCCTTATTGGTCAAACATTCTCTCTGCAGACATATTAGAATATAACTTTTTGCCTTTAGGTATCTAGTGGTTTTCATAATTTAGGAATTCTACGGGGCTTATGATTTGTCAGAAATTAAAATCGAATGATGACAAGCCCGAGAGAGCCTCAGGAGGTGGGCACTCACCTATGTGGCTCACAGATGGGAAGTCAATGCCGCCTTCTTGAGGAGCCAGCCCTCTGCTCATATGAATCCAAAAGTGTTCATAGTTTATGGCATAGTAATTCTATTTCCTATGAAAATAATCAGAGATAATCAAATATCTAGGAATATGAACATTCACTACTTGTTTGCATCATAGCAAAACATTGAAATAAATCCAAATCCAACAGTAGATGAATGATTCAGTCAATTGTGGCATATCCATAGAATGGAACTTTTTACAGTCATTATAGATGATGTTCTAGAAGAACTCTGAATAGCATGCAAAAATAACATGTTAACTGAATAAGCAGAACAGAAAACTAGGCATACAGTGTGAGGTATATGGGTGAGAAAGCACTAAATGAAAATACTCCAAAATATAGATGGCTACTGTATCTGGGTAGTGGGATAATGGATGACTCCTATTTTTTTTCATTATTATCCTGTAATAAACACAGTTGCTTTTTTCAGGATTTAAAGTGATTTTTAAGAGTTGAACAGTTTTTACCAGAATTTGAAGTGCTCTTTAAAAAGAGGTTAAAGAGTTAAAAGTGTACACAGTAGCCTGCTCTGGACATAAATCGCAGTGTCCAGTTTCGTTGTAAGTGTCTATAGAGCTGCGAAGAACCGGCTTTCGATTAGGGATTTGGCGACCTGCCTGCGGATGAAGTCCGTGAATGTTAGTGCATGTAATTTTTGGTACTTAATTTAGTCGTGCAAAATTTCTATCGTATGACTTTCAGTCATATTCTGAATAACTGAGATTAATAGTAAAATTGAGTACTTTTTAGGTAAGGTTTCACTCATGGATTTTTTTTAAAAAAAAATAATAAAGTGAAAAGACTTGTAGAGACAACCAGGCTTATTTCCCTTTCAGGGTCCGTTCCTGAAAGCGGTGGGGAAGCCAAGTGCAGGAGGAGGACGTGCCTGCCGGCGCCCTGCCCCAACAGCAGCAGCGTCAGCCTGTGGAACATCCTGAGAAATAACATCGGGAAGGACCTGTCCAAAGTGGCCATGCCCGTGGAGCTGAACGAGCCGCTGAACACGCTGCAGAGGCTCTGCGAGGAGCTGGAGTACAGCGAGCTGCTGGACAAGGCCGCAAGCATCCCCAGCGCCCTGGAGAGGATGGTGAGGGCTCGGCCCACGGCGCTGTCCAGCTGTCCAGCCCCTGCACCCCAGTGCCGGGGCCACCAGGCCATCC